GCTAAATTTACGTGGAAACGTAATTCAACAACTTAATTTTGATATATTCAAAATGTTAGATCAAGTGACAATTATCAATCTGGATAACAACCTTTTGACATACCTCGATGAACAACTATTCTCGAACAATCCCAGACTGACTACTCTTTTGCTATCAAACAATAGATTCACCCGTCTCAACCAAACGACATTTGAACCGATAAAATCTTCGCTTCTATCTTTAGACTTTTCATTGAACCCTTTCAGCTGTAACTGTGATATACGATGGTTCCGCGATTGGATGAGTGGACATAATATTGTCGTCATTGACGAGGGCAGAACCGTTTGTTCATTGGCCTCTTTAGAGCCTCTTCGCGGAAAACCTTTGCTTAATTTTGATACTAGTAAACTCTGTGGACTCAACATTGTTCTTGTATGCTTGACTCCTCTCGCCGGCATTATCTTGGTTGTCATCGTCGTAGTCCTTTATCACAACCGATGGCAGTTGAAGAAAAAACTCTTTCTCTTGAAACTAATGGTAATTGGATATAAAGAGATGCGAGACGCCCGGGACTACAACGACTACGAGTTTGACTTGAATATCATCTTCTACGATGACGACGAAGAATGGGTTCGTCAACAATTCCAACCAGCTCTGGAAGAACGGCTTCCGCAGTTCCAGAGGAATGTCTTTGGTGATCAAGACCTCATCCCTGGTATGCACTATCTGGACGCCGTCGACTACGTGGTGAGCCATAGTTACAAAACACTCATTCTACTCAGCAGAGCCGCCGTGTACGATCGCTGGTTTATGCTCAAACTCCGCACCGCCATGGACCATGTGAGCGACACCGAGACCGAATTCGTAGTCGTGGTCTTTCTCGAAGACATCCCTGACGAGGACATACCATTCTTGGCAAGGCTATATTTAAGTGACGGCAGACCCTACCTACATTGGACCGAGGATGTGAGAGGACACGATTTTTTCTGGAATAAACTGGTGAAAAATCTCACCATTAATCTCAGGACTAATGACTTAATCCCCAACGAGTAATAACGGTCTGACTTATTTTTGAGATAGTGTGATCCATTCTACATTACTGTCCACATCTCAGAGTTTAGTATATCTGAATCATGTATTAAGCTAAGAACACTACTGGAGCTTGGATCAGACTAAATATAAAGTCGCAAACTCACTTGATGTCTATTTATATTTAGAAAAACATAATAATTTGTGGTCATGCATAATTATGATACACCTAATGACCAAATACCTTGGTTTTGCTCTTGTGCAGTATACCGGTTGATAGAAGAATAACAACAATTACTCTGCATTTTACTCTAGACCAGGGATTCCCAATGTCCGGACCGCGGGACATGTTGATCCGGACCTCCGGGGCACTTTTTTTGTTTAACCTTAATAGGGCCTTTTGGTTTCACATCTATATACGTTCGACCAAAGGATACCATTGGTCACTGCGTAGTGTAGAAAATCACCGCGCTGCCAAAATGAACATTTCCCTATAAATAATGTTCTGTACAAAAATGAAGAATTGTTTCTTCTCGGATATGTGAATAGTTAATTAGTTATCATTCAAACGCCATTTCAGACATAAATATGAAATTCCATGGACTTATTCTTTATGAGATACCCTATCAATATGCCAAGTTTTTTTGTCATTCCATGACTGAGATTCCAAGGGGGCAACCACCCCTGCCCCCCCCCCCCCCTCTGACCTTGACTGAGAGCTCATATTTGATTTAGTTTAGGAAATACAATTATTTAAATTGAATTGAATTGTGAACCAAAATAACCCGGACTTTTTAGGGTTAAACTGTAGCAATTCCCCTCAGATCAGATATAGGATAAAGACCTAAACACAAGTGCCATTACTGTAAATGTTAGGAGTAGATTGTCTGAACGTTTGCATTAATGCTTTCGTCTTATAATCATTCCATTTGTGTCAATGTTTAGGCGGATTTTTGCTGGAAAACAGTGCTATTTTTCCCACTGCTATACCCTGCATGTATACCAGAACTTCCACGTTCCACTGTCTTAACTCTTAAAATTAAGATACGCGTTAAGACACGAATGTATAATATCACGAACCTATATCTATACAAAATAATTGATTTGGTAAATTAAATTTGCCCATTTTTCGGACCATTTTAGTTTTCATGGAAATCAAATCTGGACCGTCAAGGAAAAAGTTTGAGAACCCCCGCTCTACCACTGAGCCATCGCGCCTCCTAAAAGTGGGCCTATACATATATACTCGTATGCAAAACACATTTCCGTACAAAACACACACCCACACGCACAGCGGTTTTTGCAACGTGACTATTCATCCAGGGTAGACTCTACAGCGTTTCAATATGTTGTATTATTTTCTTCTTTCCTTTTCATCTTTGTTGTGTACTAATCTTAATTTTACGTCTTTCATAAATAATACGTTATCACGATCCGGGAGTTGAAAATAACGCAGGATACTATTTCTAGCTATAAAGTTAAGTAGTAATGTTTGATTAGTACGACTGATTCGAAAGCCAAAGTCCCAAATGCTAAAAACTTGACAGTCATGCTTTTTTGTTTATAACAATCTGTTTTGGTTTTGATCCAGCTCTCCAACATTCTCACTTGATTGATTGATTTTTATTCAACAAGCTTCCAACATACAACAATATACAATAATAACAGATCAAAAATAAGTCTTAATAATACTTAACTCATAGAAGTTCATAGAAACTTTTCTGCAAGTCTAAATGAATCTACTTTTCCTCCTCAAATATGAAACAATTTTTCGTAAGTCCCACTCTTTCATTATTAAAAACTAAAAGCTGTGTGAATCAAAATTGCAAGATCGAAAATCAACTACAAATTGCCAATATGAACACGAAAAAAGTGATTATGAATTCCACTCTCCGTTGCCATTTCAGAGATTTCAAAATGAAAAATTAAAGGTCACTTAAAGATGACACTATAAAAATTGGTTAATATCTATTAATTTGAAAACAATACTCAAATACTCGTAATATATTTGTACAAACAACATTTTTTTCTTTTTCTGTCTCAATGTATAAGATGTATTTGATAAAAAGATCAATTAAGTTTGTGTTGTGTAAATATCTTAGTGTATTATCTGAATTGTCTTGATATTGGTTATATTTGGAATTGTATTATTTAGAAATCATCGAATAAATATTGATAACGTGTATAAACAACGATCATCGGCATCTGCAAAGATATATTTGAAAAAAGATCATTTAAGTTTGTGTTGTGTAAATATCTAAGTGTAGTATCTATATTGTCTTGATATTAGTTATATTTTATATTTTATTGTTAAGATCTCATCGAGTATAAGAACCAATCATCGGCATCTGCAAAGGTGTATTTGATTTTAAAAAAAAAGATCATTTAAGTTTGTGTTGTGTAAATATCTTAGTGTAGTATCTATATTGTCTTGATATTGGTTATATTTGATATTTTATTATTAAGATATCATCGAGTATAAGAACCAATCATCGGCATCTGCAAAGGTGTATTTGATAAAAAAGATCATTTAAGTTTGTGTTGTGTAAATATCTTAGTGTAGTATCTAAATTATCTTGATATTGGCTATATTTGAAATTGTATTAGTAAGATATCATCGAATATATCTTGATAACGTGTATATCCAACGATCATTGGCATCTGCAAAAATGTATTTGATAAAAAGATCAATTAATTTTGTGTTGTGTAAATATCTTAATGTAGTATCTAAATTGTCTTGATATTGATTTTATTTGACCTATTCATTATTCAGATATCATCAAATATATTAGTAAAGTGTAGACGCAAAGATCAACGGCACCTGAATACTATTTTGGAATAGATTTTGAATGTTTATTACGGTTGTTTTTGTTTTGTAATATACGTAATCAAGTTATGTCAATATATTTTGTGGTTCTCTTTTGGTCCAGAGTAAGTGTGACTCTCTAAACAGTATGAAAGTGAATATGATTGCATCTAGATATAGTCACACTGTGACCGCCGCCCGGTGACCACATCATCTTTAATTTCTTGTAATACTATGTTAAATCATATATATATTATCATTCTGTTATTATTTGTATGCATTTAATTTACAATAAAATAACTTTCGAAAAAAAAAACATTGTATCACAACGTGACAATTAAACGATATGTTATTACTGTGTGTGAAGGTGCGATCGCCAAGACTTTCGAGAATTCGATATAAAATCATGTTCAGATTACGGCACACGTCTGTAAAGTGTGCACAAATTTAAAAGGGCGGTGGACAAGAGTCGAAATGTTGTGTACGAGACAATTAAATTGACTAAGGTTGATTTTTCTTTCTCGACAGTCTTTGCGATTATGTTTGTGAGACAGTGTCGCCCGTGTTGTAATATGATTGAAACCCGACGCCAAGCTTAAAGGGACTTGGTTAAATATTGTTCAGATGAGAGAAAATGTATTCCATGATGAATATTAACTAGTTTTCTGTCCAATGATATCATATTTATAATATTTCTGCCGCGGGTGACTGAGCACCAGGGTCTTTAAAAGGGTTGTCAAATCGCCTTGTACCAAGTTTGGGCGGATGGAGCGAATTCGGGTCAGGCCAAATGCATGTGCTTCTTTGGTCTTAAATCCATTTAAAAAGTTAAATTATGCCCCGTGCTTCAGTGCTTAATTGTTTAAAATGATGCAATTCAATCCATAGGACGCCCTTTATTTATTTTGAACAGCCTACTAACTTCTTGACTCATGATATCTAAGTTCTCTCTGCTCATATGTCCGCTACGCCATTTCACACGCGTAATGAGCATAAGGTGTTTGTCTCGAATAGCAAATGAAAAGCCAAAGGTTACTAAACCCTAATGCAAGAAGAAACACATACTTATGATGATAAGTATCAAAGAAATAGATAGTAGACTTTCATCAAAATGATAACATCCCAAATAAACTTCAGCCATTTTGTATCACTCAATGACAAGGGTTACCTTATGTCAAGGCATGACATTATTTTTCCCGTATTTGTTACGCGGCAGAATAATTACCCTTTTTACCTGAACTGAGACTATCAGCACTTTCGCTACAGCGCAAAACAAGACCGTACGAAGGTTCATCAACCATGTTGGTTGATCCTAGTTTTTCCTTCATTTATAATCAAAAACTGAAGGTATGTTTAATTCCGTGCTATTATTCTTATGAGTGTATGTTATGCTAGGATTGTATGTGTATCTTTAATGTTTTTGAGGTTTGTAGGACAAATTTGGGCCTCTTTTGAAGTTTGGATAGTGGTAAAAGGGCGCTAGTGTAGCAAGGTATCCAAAATATAGCCTACTAAAACAGACCCCAAATTTCAGACCCCAAATTTTGTGGTCATCATTACCCTAACCCTAACCCTAACCCTAACCCTAGAACCCTAACCCTAACCCTAACCCTAACCCTAACCCTAACCCTAACCCTAGAACCCTAACCCTAACCCTAACCCTAACCCTAACCCTAACCCTAACCCTAGAGATAATGATAAACACAAAATTTGGGGTCTGAAATTTGGGGTCTGTTTTAGTAGGCTATATTTTGGATACCTTGCTACACTAGCGCCGGTAAAAGTCCGTATTGGGTTTGACTGTGCTTACGGTACTTGTGAAAGTGATTGATAATTTGTAAAATAATTCTTGGTTATATACTTCAAGGAAGTGTAAGAGATGCTGAAATATCTCATGATAGTTTATAAGTTATCTGGAGACGTTCATTATTGTTTTGGTGTCATATTTCATAAATTCGGGATGACACGTGAGACCTATTTTTCTTACGCTATTTTAGGACTTCAGTGAATTGTAGTACTTATACGTACAGATTATATAGCGGAGGGATATTTTTAGACGCCAGGTTAAGTGATTCGCCTTACAGTTAGTCTTGTTTATGTCGCCCTAGGTAATATCGCGTTATTCGTTTTAATATTTGAAAGGGGGATTTTTGTAATGTGATTTATAGTATGCTGAATGGAGTTTTATGTAATTCAGAAACGAGACAAAACAACACATTTTTATTTTGCTTAAAGAAGACACTTTTATTAGAGTAAAGAAGTGAAATGAATAGTTATTTGTTAAGAGTTCGAATGTGGATATTTACTTCTAGTTGCTTTACACTATAGTTTTAAACTTAAATACACCCTTGAAGGTCATGTATTTACTCAAGTTTGCTTACAAAGAATGTAATCTAAGGAAAAAGGAACAATTTGGGTATTTTGAATCAATAGTCATTCTTTGTTTATTTTGTTTCTTTACAGGATTCACACGATTGTTGAATGTGCTTTACAGCGCCACAACTATTAAAGGGAAGCTAATTCAAGTCACGCCTCCTGTGTGGTTATTATAACAACGTGGAAGTTTAGACACGGTCTTATAACATTCTTCAACAATCTGGCTGTATAACTATCAACTGAAGATGACTGACATGAAGACTCTAAAGCTGGCGAGGAGAAATCTGAAGGGACAATTGACGAGGACATTAACATCCATTGTCAATCTCTCCGATGAATCTGCAGACCTTAGTCTTCTGAAGCAGTACATCAGCAAGGCTGAAGAACAGTTTGTAAAGGTGGAAGAGAAGCATGCAGAGCTTGTACAGTTCGTAGAGAAAGACGAGGAATTTGAGGCTGAGGAAGTGTGGATGACCAACTGCGAGACAGACTTTGTCCAGAAGTTAACTGCTGGTAGGAGAGTTCTCAGCAAGCAGTTGTCGCCACCACCAGTACAGCAGACATCCGAGCAACAGCAGAACGTGACACTCCCAAGCTCTCCTCTCCGCACCTCCTTTCAGAATCAATCTGCAGGTGCCTGTGCCCCTAGGATGGCGAGACTGAAACTACCATCATTTAATGGTGACATCAAAGATTACCGGAGATACAAGGAAATGTTCCAACACTGCACAAGGGAATTGTCAGAAATTGAGTGTTTTTTCCAGTTAGCGGAGTCAATGGTGTCTCAAAGGGAGAGAAACTTAGTCAAAAGCTGTTCAAGCGTAGCAAGGGCATGGGAGATGCTGGATGAACGTTTTGATGACAAGGACCGAGTGGTGGACAGTTTGCTACAAGATTTGGATGGTCTCAAGCCATACGAGTATAAAGGAAAGGTGAATCTTCCAGCAATGGCGCGATTCATCCAGGTACTTCAGAACTTTGAATGCCAGGCGGAAACCATCGGCCTGGCTGGGGAGCTCAATAGCAGAATCATGCTTACCCAAATAAAACAGAAACTCCCAGAAGATCACAGAATGGACTACTACAAAAGTGTTCGGGATGAGAATGCTGACGACTCCATTTCGGGATTAAGCAAGTGGCTGTTCCGACAGCAAATTCTTATGGAGAAGTCCAAAGCCACCATCGCAGATAGTATGGAACCAAAAAGAGTTTCTAAGTCCTTGACTGCAGCCGTGTCTTGGGACTCCAGAGAGGCTCCTTCATATGCTCGTGATATCCCAAAATGTGCTCTACATCCTAAGAACCCCTCTCATTACCTCAAGATCTGCAACAAGTTCAAAGCCCTAACACTCAAGGAGAAGTATGAAGTCATGAAAGCAAATGGTGTATGTTTCCGTTGTGGTCATAACAACTGTATTGCAGGGAAACCCCCTCATGACCGCAGCAAGTGCCAGTTCAGGGCACCATGCCGAGTCCAGACATGTGGTAGTGACGAGCACTTTCCTGCCATCTGTCCCAAAGCCCATGGTGATGCCAGAGATAAGGATCAGAGAAGTGGCTATGCTAACCAGGCAGACTCTGTGAGGCCCACTCAGTCTAACAGCTCCATACAGACTTCTACAATCAACCATGTAGGGAAACTGCATGCTACCTTACCTACCGTGATGGGATATCTACGATGTGGCAGCAAACGACACCTAGTACGCATTCTGTTGGATGGAGGCAGTCAGGCCACACTCGTGAGAACAGGAATCTTTCCCAGAATGGAGGGTGATCTTTTCCAGGATCATGACCTTAGCCTTGTTGGCGGCAGTAATATCAAGCGGAAGCTGAGAGTCCTTGATTGTGAGATTGAGGATTTACAAAGGAGTTGGTCTTATCCGTTGACAGCTACTGAGATAGATAAGCCATGCGGGAATACACCTGTCATTTTCCCTGAGCATCTACAGTCCTATGACCACTTGACAGGTGTAGAGATAGATGTGGCCCCATCACCAGTCATTGACCTGCTGCTTGGAGTGGACAATACTCACCTTATGGTATGGGAACAGTACATCAGGGGAAGCAGACCAGATGAGCCAGTTGCAGTTAAATGTCCTCTAGGTTGGTTTGTTCAAGGAGGCCCAGCAGCTAATGCAGCACCACTCCTCAACTACGTCAGTGTAGCTGCTTCAGGTTCCCTGGAGGAGTTCATTGGACTCGAGACAGCTGGTTTGGAGCCCAGGAAATGTAAATGCTTCTCTGATGACGAGAAAGGAACTGAATCCATGCAGAAGAGTGTTACTCAGCTACCAGATGGCTCTTATGAGGTTCGCTTACCTTGGAAGCGATCTCCGGAAGAACTACCAGACAACTATGACTATGCAGTTAAAAGGCAGAAGAGCCTGGAGAACCAGTTCCGAGACCGGCCTAATGAGTGGGAAGTCTATTGCCGGCAAATGAGAGACCAATTGGAAAGGGGTGTCTCCCGGCAGGTTTCACAGGACGAGTTGCAACAAGACAGGAATGTAGGCAGAAGGATGTGGTTTCTTCCACACTTTGGGGTTGTTAAAGACTCAAAAACAACTCCAGTCCGGGTAGTTTATGATGGTAAGGCGAAGTTCCAAGGGCGTTCCCTGAATGACTGTCTCATCAAAGGAGAGAATGTTAACTCAAATCTTCTCGAGGTGGCCCTCCGGTTCCGTGAAAATGAAGTGGGCATGATCGCAGACATATCCAAGATGTTCCAGGCTATTAAGATTTCACCAGAGGATGCTCGGTTCCACAGGTTCGTTTTCAGAGAGAATCCAAACCATCCCATACAAGTCTTTGAGCTTACAACAGTCACTTTCGGGGATAAACCCTCTCCAACCGCAGCAATCATCACCCTCAGACATGTGGCTCGTGAGCATGCACCAGATGATGACAAGATACAGAAAGTGATCGTCGAGCAATTCTATATGGACGACCTGAACGAGTCAGTTAGTAATGCTGAGGAAGCTCTAGAGTTGAAGTCCAAGCTGACAGAGACATTGAAGAAAGGAAACTTCAACTTAAGGAAGTGGCAGTCTAATGTCAAGAAGGTCTGTGATGAGACAGAAAACACAGACACTGCTACTGTCCTAGGTACCAGCTGGGATCTATCTAAGGACACACTGAGAGTGAAGAAGGTCAAACCCCTCGAGGATACTACCCTCACCAAGCGGAAGATTCTTGCTCAAACGGCATCCTATTACGATGTTTTTGGAATGCTTTCCGGACTGTTGGTACGCCCCAAGATTCTTCTTCAAAGGTTGTGGCAGCTGGACCTTGACTGGGACTCCCCTCTTGACCAAGGCAGTGAGCTCTACTCCATGATGAGTAAGATCAACAGAGACCTTAATGAGATGGACGGCATTGAGATCCCAAGATGTCTGATACCAGAGCCTTATAGGGGAGCGAGACCCCTACCCATAGTGTCCATGCATGGTGTCAGTGATGCTTCAGAGGACGCCATGGGATTTGCAGTGTGGCTGAGATGGTCACATGCTGACAGCCAAGAAGCTCATCTATCCTTCGTCTGTGCCAGATCTAGAGTGACACCTCTGAAACAGACAAGCATGCCTCGGAAGGAGCTACAAGCTCTTCTCCTTCTATCCAGACTGATGATCACCATCAGAGATGCTCTACGCTTCAGCATAGTCGGATGGAAGATGTGGACAGACAGCATGACAGCGATTAGTTGGCTTAGAGGGCAGTCTAAGACCTTCCGATCTTACGTCGCACATAGAGTCGGTGAGATCACATCTGAATTTGACCCCTACAGTGATATCGCCTACGTTCCCACGGATCAAAATGCTGTTGATCTCATTTCCAGAGGAGGCGTTGTTACAGACATGCAGGAGGTCATCAAGGGCCCAAAGTACTTGAGACTACCTCCTCATTCTTGGCCGAGGACACCAGAAAATGTTCCTGTCAAACCGGGAGATCCTGAACAGAAGAAGTTTCACTCCCGAAACACCAAGATCCTCTCAGTAACTGTGAATGCTGTGTCCAAGAATTCCCCGATTGTTGATGCTACCAAGTTCTCCAGCTGGTCAAAGCTACAGATGGTCACGGCGAGGGTGTTATCCCTCAAGGAGCTTCCCCGGAATCAATGGCTGAAGCAATTCCTCCGGCAGATCTCCGAATGGCCATCCCAAAGAATGATCAAAGAGGCAGAACTGTATTGGGTCAGACAAGCTCAGAAGGAGATAAACTTCCAAGATTCCAATATACAGAAGCTGGACCCATTCTTCGATGAGGACAGTGAAGTGTACCGTGTTGGTGGACGTCTAGGTAGAGCACCACTGTCGTATGACATTCGCCACCCATATCTTCTTCCGAAGAAGAGTCATATCAGCTTCCTCCTGGTATGCGATAGACATCTACATGCCCTTCATGGTGGTCATTTGCGGACAGCAAATGAGGTTCGGAAGAAGTACTGGATAGTGGGGGACATGAACATTGCACGATGTGTTGTACGCTGTTGCATCACTTGCAGACGGCATAGAGGCAAACCGACGCACCAGAGGATGGCTGATTTACCAGAGTTTCGGGTCAGTCCATGTTCGCCACCCTTCAAGACTACCTTGGTGGACTACCTAGGCCCAGTAATGGTGAAGCTGAATCGTAATACCACGACCAAGGGATATGGTGCCTTATTCACATGTGCGGTTACCAGGGCTGTCCACCTGACAGTAGTCCAAGACCTATCAACTCAGGCATTCCTTCAAGCCTTAGAAAGGTTTGTCAGTATTAGAGGAGCACCAGCCATGATGGTTAGTGACAATGCTACTTGTTTCCGAGGGGCTGACAACACGATCAATGAGCTGAACCTTAAGCTGAACCAAACGCAGGTCCGGGAGCACTGTCAACGTTATAAGGTTGAGTGGAAGTTCGGACCACCGGGAGGACCCCATCACCAAGGGGCAGTAGAGCGCATGGTCCAAGAAGTAAAGAAAGCTATGAGGCACCTTGTGAAGGCTGACCGTCTGACCTTCGTAGAATGGGAGACTGTTTTCTGCAAGATTTCAGGGCTCATCAACAGCCGTCCCCTGACTGCGATGTCATCGTCGCCTCTCGATCATCCACCGCTCACTCCCAATCACTTTCTCATTGGGAGAGGAGATCTGAACTGCCCTGATATTCCTTGTGAGGACTACAAGGGAGATCTACGGAAACGCCGTGAACTGTGTAATACAATGGTGGAGGGTTTTTGGCGTAGATGGATGGAGTACACCCACAAGTTGGCACCACGTCAAAAGTGGCAACGATCTTCAGACAACGTGGAAGAGAACGATATCGTCCTCGTCATCGGTGATGACAGAAAACGCGGGTCGTGGAAGATGGCCGAGGTAGTCAGGACTCAGCCTGGACAGGATGGCCTTGTTAGAGTCGTCGAAGTGAAATACGCAGATGGGACGCGTGCCACCAGGCCGATCACAAAACTTGTATCCCTGATGAAGCGAGATGAACGTTCAGACATTTAAACAGCTTGAAGAAAAATTCAGACATTTAAAGGTTCAAGAACTGTTGATTACTGGACATTTGAACAGCTCGAAGAAAAATTGCTATTAATGGGCAATTTATAGAGGATAGTGATTTCGTTGTATTTCTCTTTGATCTTATAAGTGTTCCATTAAGTCTTTAAATCATGTTTTATTGTGTTTTTGTGACATTCCGTCACGCTTAGGGGGTCGGGATGTCAAGGCATGACATTATTTTTTCCCGTATTTGTTACGCGGCAGAATAATTACCCTTTTTACCTGAACTGAGACTATCAGCACTTTCGCTACAGCGCAAAACAAGACCGTACGAAGGTTCATCAACCATGTTGGTTGATCCTAGTTTTTCCTTCATTTATAATCAAAAACTGAAGGTATGTTTAATTCCGTGCTATTATTCTTATGAGTGTATGTTATGCTAGGATTGTATGTGTATCTTTAATGTTTTTGAGGTTTGTAGGACAAATTTGGGCCTCTTTTGAAGTTTGGATAGTGGTAAAAGTCCGTATTGGGTTTGACTGTGCTTACGGTACTTGTGAAAGTGATTGATAATTTGTAAAATAATTCTTGGTTATATACTTCAAGGAAGTGTAAGAGATGCTGAAATATCTCATGATAGTTTATAAGTTATCTGGAGACGTTCATTATTGTTTTGGTGTCATATTTCATAAATTCGGGATGACACGTGAGACCTATTTTTCTTACGCTATTTTAGGACTTCAGTGAATTGTAGTACTTATACGTACAGATTATATAGCGGAGGGATATTTTTAGACGCCAGGTTAAGTGATTCGCCTTACAGTTAGTCTTGTTTATGTCGCCCTAGGTAATATCGCGTTATTCGTTTTAATATTTGAAAGGGGGATTTTTGTAATGTGATTTATAGTATGCTGAATGGAGTTTTATGTAATTCAGAAACGAGACAAAACAACACATTTTTATTTTGCTTAAAGAAGACACTTTTATTAGAGTAAAGAAGTGAAATGAATAGTTATTTGTTAAGAGTTCGAATGTGGATATTTACTTCTAGTTGCTTTACACTATAGTTTTAAACTTAAATACACCCTTGAAGGTCATGTATTTACTCAAGTTTGCTTACAAAGAATGTAATCTAAGGAAAAAGGAACAATTTGGGTATTTTGAATCAATAGTCATTCTTTGTTTATTTTTGTTTCTTTACAGGATTCACACGATTGTTGAATGTGCTTTACAGCGCCACAACTATTAAAGGGAAGCTAATTCAAGTCACGCCTCCTGTGTGGTTATTATAACAACGTGGAAGTTTAGACACGGTCTTATAACACCTTAAATAAGGGATGTGAATAAAGTCCAGATTGTAATCATCATAACAAAGAAAGTATCATAACTTTTGCAAGAAATAAGCATTTCCTTGAGTTCGAGTTAATATTAACACCTTTTCTTTTCAACTACCTAATATTCAATGTAACTAAGTGAGAAATATTTTTGTTTTGGAATGAGATAATACACACTTTTCCTATAGTACTTAGGAAAAGTACTTAACGATCATCTACAAAATCTTCAAAATAGAGCTCTTCGTTGTGTATTAAATGTGGATTGGATGTATCCGTCTGAACTATTATTTACAAAATTAGATGTCAAAAGACTTGAGGAGAGGCGAAATATATACGCACTTTACGTATAATGCACAACATTGCCCATGATATGCTACCAGAGAGTACATGTAATCAATTTGTTTTGAGTAACAGTAATTAATGTTTTTTATTCATATTTTAAAATCAAGTACCACCGGTTAAAGCTAACTTTAAAAAGAAAGGTCTGCAATACAGAGGAGCAAAACGATGGAATGAATCATGAGGTAAAAGGTTTGAGCCTTTACAGTTTCAAATTGGACAGTATACTGTATAGAGTGAAATAGTATTGTAGTGGCTTCATTTGTCCATCTCTCTTTTTTTCCCCCTTCTCTCTCCCCCTCTCTCTCTCTCTCTCTCTCTCTCTTCTTTTCTCTCTCCCTCACATCTATCTCTCTCTCTCTCTCTTTCCCTCTCCCTCTCTCTCCATCTATCTCTCTCTTTGTGTGCTATGCCTCTTGTTCGCAATCTGTGTAATATGCTGTGCGATCACTCTAGCTGCTTATTCAATATAGTTATAAAAAAATGTTTGTCAGTTTGCTAATTCGCTTATTTTTCTCGAGCTATTGCATCACGAGGTTTACTCTTTAAAATATATATCAATTTTAATTTTTTTTTTAATTTTCAATTCCTAAATTTAACTTTTACTTAAATTTACTTCATTTTATATTTGTATTTAGTTATTGTTATATTATGTTATTTATCACGCTCGTCGCATTATTTTTCAATGTATTTTATTCAATTATTGATCTTAAATCCGCTTTCCTTTTACTGTTGTAATTGTATAATTTGTATTGCGTGTTATTTTGAATTGTATATATTTTGTATATGATTCCTTTTTATGTATGCACGAACTTGCAGAAGAACAGCCGTTGGCCTAAGCTAGTGATCCGCGTTGAAATAAGATAAAATAATTGGTAGTCATCGTCGAAGTCCTTTATCACAACCGATGGCAGTTGAAGTACAAACTCTTTCTCTTGAAACTAATGGCAATTGGATATAAAGAGATGCGAGACGCTCGGGTCCACAACGACTACGAGTTTGACTTGACTATCATCTTCTACGATGACGACGAAGAATGGGTTCGTCAACAACTCCAACCAGCTCTAGAAGAACGGCTTCCGCAGTTCAAGAGGAATGTCTTCGGTGATAAAGACCTCGTCATTGGTATGCACTACCTGGACGCCGTCGACTACGTGGTGACCCATAGTTACAAAACACTCATTTTACTCAGCAGAGCCGCTGTACACGATCGCTGGTTCATGCTCAAACTCCGCACCGCAATGGACCATGTGAGCGACACCAACACCGAATTCGTTGTCGTGGTCTTTCTTGAAGACATTCCTGACGAGGATATACCATTCTTGGCAAGGTTATATTTAAGTGACGGCAGACCCTACCTACATTGGACCGAGGATTTGAGAGGACTCGCTTTTTTTTCTGGAATAAACTGGTGAAAATTCTTACCATTAATCTCAGGACCAATGACTTGATCCCCAACGAGTAATAACGGTCTGACTCATTTTTGAGATAGTGTGATCCATTCTACATTACTGTCCACATCTTAGATTTTAGTATATCTGGATCATGTATTAAGTTAATAGCCCTACTATAGCTTGAATTAGACTAAATATGAAGTGGCAAACACATCTGATGTCAATTTATATTCGGAAATCCATAATATATGTGGTCATGCATAAATTATGATCCACCAAATGACCAAATACCTTGGTTTTGCTTTATGTGCAGTATACCGGTTTATGAAAGTAATACTGACAATAACTCTTCATCTTACTCTAGACCAGGGATTCCCAAAGTCCGGACCGCGGGACATGTTAATCCGGACCGCCGGGGAGGCTATTTCATTTTTGTTTTAATCTTAAAAGGGCAGGGGGCAGAATCAACTATGTCCCTATCTTTGTGATACCAAATTAATATAAGTTCAACCAAATGGGTAATACGTAGTGTCAAAAATCACCGCGCTGCCAAAATGAAAATTTTCCCATGAATTATGTACTGTACACATGGCAGAATCGTCACTTCGCAGATTTTGTGCATATTAATTTAGTAATCATTCAAAAGCCATTCGAGACATAGCTTTGAAATGGCATGGACTTATTCTTTATGAGATACCCTATCAAGATGCCAAGTTTAATAATTTTTCGTCATTAATGACTAAGATTCCAAGGGGACAACCACGCCCCCCTCCCCCCCCCCCCCCCACCCCCACCCTGGCCTTGGCTGAGAGCTCGTGTTTTGATTGGGTTTTGGAAACAACATCAGAAGTGAACTGAATTGTGTACCAAAATAACCCAGTCTTTGTAGGGTAAAGCTGTATAACAATAATGCAGGCGCGTACACAGGGGGGGGGGGGGGGGGGGGGGGGGGGGGGGGGGGGGGGGGGTTAAATTCCCCCTTTGGTAATTTTTTTTGTGGGGGGGGTAAACCCCCTAAATTTCTCTAAAACCCCCCCCCCCCCCTTTTGTTTTGTTTTTTGTTTTGTTTTTTTTTTTAAAAAAAAATTTAAAAAAAAAAAAAAAATTCCCATGGTTGACCTAAAAAAGCTGACCTGACCCCCCCCCCCCCCCACGGAGCAAATGTCAAATTTTCAAATTTCGAAAATGTGTCCTCTTACCCCCCCCCCCCCCCCCCCCCCCCCCGCTTATTCAGCGGCTGGCTGAGTCGTTGCGAAATTTTCGGCCCGATTTATAAATGTTAAACCCCCCCCCCCCTTGAAAAAATCCTGCGTACGCGCCTGCAATAATGTATACCCTTTCTTTGCCGCTCGCCCCCCCCCCCCCTCTCTCTCTCTCTCTCTCTCTCTCTCTCAATTTCTATCTCCACCCTTACTCATCTTACATCACTCTGCCTAGCGTTCTTGATCTATTTCTCTCTCCATTCTAGTCTAGTTCTGGATGGACCCTTTTTTATTATTTTTATTATTTGCCAACTATAAGCGTTGTGCCGAATGATAGCGCGATCCTTAGTGACGGCGCGATCCCAAGAACCGGTCCGGAATCGCGCCATCACTCGGCGTAACGCTTATAGTTGGCGAATCATTTAGCATCAATTCTCGTTTGCAGATTTGTTCGATATCAAACAATAATTTGTAAAACCGGACGCACTTATGGTAATTTTGCCTGAATCCTTATTTACCTCTTGATATCTTTTAATATTTGTTAATAGATTTTGTTAAAGGTCCCTTTTAACTCAAACACGTATTTTCTACGAATATTTACTTTAAACTACTTTTCCCCCGACTATTTTGTTGAATAGAGGAGGCACTTCTTCTGAGGTTCATATTTCCGAAAATGAAATAGGGTTCATAATTCCACAAGTGAAATTAAAGGATTCGTTATTCAGAAAGTTCGTAATTCCAAAAAACGTTATCTCTGTCACTTTTGGAAAAATGAACGTTATTTATTTTCGAAGTTACGAACCCAAATTCATTGTCGTGATTATGAACCCTGTATCATTTCGGAATTAAGAAATGTGTATCATCGGGATTACGTATCTTAAGAATAATGAACTTTTTGAATTAAGAACCTTAGGAATAACGACATGTAACCGTTAAAGGGTACCTTTAAAATTCCGTCGTCAAGCACTTGTCAATCAAAGTATGCCCGCTCAATATCGTGACATTATGTTCAAAGAAATCCATCTCCATTAATAGTGCGGAACTTTGTTTACTCTACGGATATAGAGGATGTTTATTCAACAAAGATTGCCCTCCGAAAAGAAAAATGATGGCAATTCATCATTACGACTTCGCATTTCGCTCTAATCGCTTCGAAATTGAGCAAACATGGGCGAAAAGGAAACCGGAACCTATAATTCGTTTTTTTGTGTGTGTGGTTCGATTCATATATTTGTCAAGAGAAATGACGTATGAGTTAGCCCTCTTGCACCCCCACCACATCCACCCCCATCCACTAGGAACCATACATCAAATATATTCGTGGCCTGATATTTAACAGGAGGCGAATTGCGTACTAGTTTATAAATCTGATACCCATGTCTTGTTTTAAGAGTTTAAAAATATATTGCTATAATACACATGTCCTATATAACAATTTATGTATATAAATATTTGATTACTAACTGCTCTCTGTTTTAGCGGACATCCTTTTTTCGTATCGACAACCCATACCGACGCCCCCCCCCCCCCCCCCCCCCCCCCTCTCTCTCCTTCATCATACCTCCGCCTTGCCAAGTTAACCAAGGGCGTTGCTCCAAATGATCGGGGACATTTGCTTCGTCTTGATTATTACTAATATATTTTTTTTCAATTCAATTTAAAGTATAAATTATTTTAACAATTTCTCATTTCATGTTTGTAAGATACTCATTTTAATAGTTTTATACATAATTACATGAATAGTTTGTGAGAGTATATTTACAGTTTTACACAAGCAAGAAGGCTTTATCCTCCCAAACCATATAGGTTTGTGTCTGGTTAGCCTTATTTATCTAAACTAATTGTGACGAAGTTACTTTTGAGCAACAAAAACTAAGGATAACTGTAATTATGATGATGATGATGATGATGATGATGATGATGATGATGATGATGATGATGATGATGATAATGATGATGACGGGTTATATAGCACCGGTGTTGATGGGCGCTCATGGCGCTTGCTCTACAATTAATGTCTCACAAATTCAACATTCATCATCATGGTCAGTTATTTTCCATTAGTCTTTGTTGGCATTAGTATACTCTCTAGGACTAGATGACATCGTAGCGGGGAACATGAAAGCATTGAGGCCTGACATGAATTGTGGAAAGTTATTCCACAGCTCTTTTCAGGAAAGAAAAGTTCCCTGAAAAGTAACCTAATGCAACCTCTGAATAGAACAAGTCCGGGGGGGGGGGGGTTCAAAGTTTCCTGCAAGTGCCAATCTTCGTTCAACCTAATTTATCAATTCTTGCCTCAGCTCCTTACCAATATCATTCATAACGTCAAATTATGATACCACCCTGATGTCCCAATTCACCCCCATCAGTTGTAAAAGCTACCACTTTGTGTGGTCCCTCTCGTTACCCTATCAGGCTCTGGTAGTGGTATAGGGGTGCAGAAGCGCACCCCTGCCCAGATCTGTCCTGTCTCAAAGTGACAGACAGATATGGACGCGAGATATGACATAAACGAGCAGTCGTCACATAGATAAAAACTAATCTCAAGAACATTTATGATTCCGTCTAAATAAAGATGGATGAAACGTTTTATGGATCGGTTTGACGCACAATGTATTCCCCTTTGCAGTTATCGTTACTATCATATTTTGGCGTCTCTGAAATAAATATCATCTGGTTTCGCTTCTTGATATCAGTATAATAGAGTGAGATTAAATGTCGATTTGTATTAACACACGCAATGTACGTCTTTGTTATGTGAAAACATCGATAAGACCGAAGTTGGATTCTATTTTATCTTTTGAACTGTGTTAACTTTGACTTTAAAAAAAGAGAAAAGAATATGAATGCTAGAGTTTATCTAAATATTCAAATTATAGATGGATGCACAAAGCTTGCCTTCAAGATATATCAGCTACATGGTTGTGAAGCTCTGACATGTATGTCTTCATGAAAGCACCCCATCTACGATACTCCTAGGCTTAAAGATTCGTTCGTTTAGTTCTTCTTTACGTCTTTTATCTTATTCTATGCATATTTCATATTATTGAGGCCTTTTACCTCCAGCACTTATCTTTCATACTGGTACACGCAGGTCCTGTTTTACATCAAACATGCCCCCTTGTGGTCCTAAATCTATAAATGTTTGGTTTCCCGGGTCGAAATAATATTACATGTTTGGATAATTGTTGTTGCCCTCTAGGAATGGACCCTGTTTAGTCGCCCTTCCCACTCACACAGTCAAGAAAATCAGAGTTATCTGTATGAAGAATCTGATATTGGAATACTGAAGAAACAAAATCTCATCGTATGCATTCTACAATAGATTACAAATAAAATGGGCGAAAATCACGATAAATATGATTATTTTAAGTGAAGAAACGTAAAGAAGTGGGTGTCTTTTATATATATATATATAGTGCACAACGTCACGTGATTGAGGAGTGTATTGCAGGGCGATTCTGTGATTTTATATACACCCCCTTTCTAATTCAAAGTCCAATCATTCTGATTGTTAAAAAAAAAGTTCGGGTCAAATCAGTTTCATAAATAATGATAATATATTCTTTACATCTGCAGGTTTATCTGAACTTTTTATGCAGCATCCCCTCAACTCTGGAACAATTTACCTCAATGTATAAAACAAGCAGATTCAACAGACAAATTCAAATCCATGTTAAAAACCTACTTTTTTGTTAAATAGCCTTTTTCATTTCGTCGGCGTTTACATGAACCGTCGAATCCGTCCACTGAATTCTAAATCTTACTTTCGAGAAAAAACGCGTTTGAAAGTTTGACATCTTCCAACAGCGCTATGGCGCAATGTACGATAATTGCTATTGATAATTTTTAGATAGTGTGAATGCCTGAAACCAGCTTATAATCACCATATAAAAAACTAATCATAATTTTGAACGATCGTCGAGTAATGATAAAATAAGAATGATGATGTAATTCCGCACTACGCCTTTTCCACCGAAAGTGGCAAACGGAGCGCATTCGACGGTTCATAAAAACAGAAAGTGAATACGCGCAGCACAAAAGCGCTGAATGCGCATGGATTCGTCGGTTCATGCAACCGTTCTTGCTCGTTTAATACACGCGCCCAATGCGGGTCATCGAACTTTTAATGTTGAACTGTTCGAGCTTACCTATCGAGTAATTTGGTTTTGGCCTACTACTTTCATTTTTCTTAATGAGACTTTAATTGATAAATGAATAATTCAGGAAATATCAGGACTTCATAAACATTTCCTTAATAGTGATCTCCCTTCAAATTTTGTTCCTTATAATACTAGTATTGTTTCTGTTTCAATTTGTCTAATTAGCCGCCCTACCCCCCCCCCCCCATCACATCTTGTTTCCCCAATCGTTTTCTATATAATTCATCTTTATATGGAGTTGAATTCAACCACTTATTGAATCATTGCATACTGCTTGGCCTCTTGATCATACCACTTCATTATTTTCTTTATCCTCTTTCTGATTTCTCTTTCACTTTTCTGAATCAATTTTCGCTCACACACCCTCGTAATTTGGATATTTTCATGATATAATTCCATTTCCAACACTCCTACCTGATTGTATACCATCTCTCTTCAAAGACCTTGATTTATATGAACTAAATTTAACCATAAACTAAACAGATTATTGATATCGGGCTTGACATGTAGCATCTACTTCTAGTATAGGAAATAATCCTGAACTGAAGTTTGTAACCCCTTTTCCTGAAGTATGACAGGTAGATTACTACAATTATGTTGGAACATTGTATATATGTTATCAAATAATAACTAAACACAACTAAATTATATTTTCACATCTAAACTTTATTTGACATCAATCTTAAACACACTAGATAAAGCTTAATTAATAATCAATTATAACAAATTACAACTCTTTGAGTAATAACAACTGTGGCATTGATACTACTGACGATTGTAGTGCGAGATAATCTAAAACACATCATGATCCTATATATTTAGGTAAAGCAACAGGACAATTTTTGAGTGTTACACATATTTGATGAATAAAATAAATTCAATTCAAATCATGCGCCATTCAGTGTACTTATTTTCTTGGGCTACATCATGAATTCAGCACAAGTTACATAATATTATCATGAGATTCAAAACGATTTGAGTAAAGGTCAAATAAAGCTCTGCATTAAAGTGAACTGGTAACAATGTTCATGATTTCACAAGCAGTGAGCTGAAATAACAAGTCAGAAAGTTTAACTTTTCCAGTTCAAATCAGCTGCTGACCTGGTATACTATACCTCATATTGTCCAATAGGTAATGCACAAGAACAATGGTTTTCATGAAACCATTTAACACTATTCACACATATATTTTAAGTGAAGATATGTTTTTTGAAATTATTTGTATTTACAGTGCGTTATTCCTTCATCAAAAGTTTTAGAAACAGTATCACGATTTCAAAAAACTCTCTAATACAATGCCGCCAGTTCACTAATTGTTATTAAATGCCCCTTGTCAATGCCCCTTTTGGTAACTTTGCCTTGAACTTGTACTGATCTTCAACACCTAATATAAATAACCACTTAAAGAGGTAATGTTCAACACAGTAAGGGCTCAACACGATGTATGATCATGAACCCAACACTATACATAAGCCCATTAAGCCGGCACCCATTGGCACCAAAACAAATTGAACATCCTTGCCCAACTGTCAGCTATTGTAGCTTTAACCAGATGTGACAGCTTGAAATATTCTATTTTACAATAGTGGGCAAATAGCAAAAGATAATCAAAATAACTTGGATATGAATCATAATTACAACATGCAAGCATGCTCCATCGTTGTAACCATAGAATCATGAAAGGTTTTACATTCATTTGCATCAATTTATTGACAATTAAATTAGGCTGAATCTTTTATATTTTTCATTCATCACTTTGCTTTTTATAATTATGAAATTCTTAACCTTGAAATCTTGATGTTCTTACAGGTGTAATAATAATAATATTCTGCTTTTATATAGCGCATGATACATCAATAAAACGATGTGTCTAAGCGCTTTACAGATATATATATCATTACCTAGTCATTGGATTTAGGCTTGCCCGCACACAATGTATGCACGTTCTCCACTCCCTGGTGAGCATTCCGCCCAGTCCCCATTTTACAAACGCACACTTGCTCATCCAACTACATTAACTTTTGCATCCTACCGGGTACCCATTTAACACCTGGGTGGAGAGTGACAAATGTAGATTAACATCTCGCCAACCGACATTAGTGCTGCAGCAGAACTTGAACCCTGTACCTTGTGATGTGCAGTCGGATGACTTATCCACTAGACCACAACACCTCTATGATGAAAGTAAAGTTGAGTTATCACATTCCTGGAATCTGGTGGTACATGTACAAGAGACTGCGGCACAAAGCAAGTTCAGGACATCGACTCCACCTGAAAATAAAATAAAAAGATAGAGATATAGGCATAAATAAAATAGACAAAAAATCAAACTGCATGTGATGTCTTGCCTGCACCTCGCAATTTGCCTATTAAGTATGAACACTTCCAATTGATATCTAATAAGAAATTTGGTAGCATTCGGCCAAGTTGACTAAAAACAGGTGAAATGACCAACCACTGGATGGCAACACTATTCATTCACTAAAACATAATTGATTTTTGATCTTGGTGATGAAAGTCTTCCTCATAATTTTTGGGTGCAGGTTTAATGAAATTCGGACATATACTTTTGAAATGAGAATTTAACAAAGGTTATTTTTTAAGCAAAATATAACACAAGTGACCATAATTTACCTTTGACCACGACCTTGGATATGAAAATTCTTCCACATATTCTACATGTATGATCCTTAATTATGACAAGTTTCATCAAATTTCTTCCACATAATAAAGTGATGCTTGATAATAGGCCATTTTTGTAATGTAACCAAATTTATTGCATAAGTCTTTGTGAAGTGCCTCAATACATGTTATTTCATTCACCTAAAAAGAATAATAGTATTTCAATAGACAGAATCCGAACTGAACACATTAGTTGTTGCCAGGCTGGACAAACATTATGGCTTGACCTACCTAGCAACACTAAATAAATGCAGTTTGTCTTCTGACTATTGAAATACTATCATTCTTATAAGTTGAATGAAATAACTTGTACTGAGGCACTTCACAAAGACTTATGCATTAAATTTGGTTATATTACGAAAATGGCCTATTGCTATGTGCAATTTTCATCAAATTTGGACATAACCTTTTGAAATGAGAGTAATTTTTAATTTTTGATGCCGCGGTAGGAAAAAGCGGTACCTATGTCTCACTCTAGCTATGCAGACAAGACAAAAAAATCTTCAGAGAATCATGACAATTAAATAATGACTCTGTAAATCACTCTGCTATCACAATTATTCTTTTGTTGAACAAACAAGACATAAAGAAGACATAAAGAAGAAAAAAAAGGTCAAACTGAATTACTTACCAGATCACACAGCACTCTTCACCAGAATGCAGCTAAAGGTCATGCCAGGATTTCTGCGAGAAACTTCCAACTATCTATTGCTGGAAAACAAATGAAAATTTTCAAAAAAAAATAATTATTTGCGAAGTTGACCCGGCCGGGTCTTGTCATAGATTACAGTTGAATTCATAAACATACCGTTTCACTGGTTCTGAGATAAAAATTGGATAACTCGTATAAATTAATTCCATAAATTTCGCCTTTGGAATTACGCAATTTAAATTTTAAAAACTTTACATAGAAAAGAAATATGTATTTTTTTTCTTCTGTCTGATTTTTTATTTCAATTAGATCTAAATCAAGAAAAATGGGGGAGAAATTTTTTGTACCAGAACTTCCAGAAGTAGTACAAAATTGGTAGCAATCGATCAATCTACCCCCATTGTGCGAGCTGTAAAAAGTACTGTCTACATGGGAAATGTTGGAAAAAGTCTGTTTTATTACAGAATGACCCATACCAGACGGTTATTTCTGTCTACGGTAACCCAAACCATGCTAACCCAATCCTGACCTAAACTGAAGTAGTCTTACATTCTTAATAATCACCAACCTAGACCGAAAAATCAGGTCAACGTCGCTATTGATAAGGACCGCTATTCATAAGGGCCGCTATTCATAAGGCTGCTTTTCATAATTTGAGAAAAGGGTTTCTATTCATAATACTAGAAAAGGGTCGCTATTCATAACACGACAAGAGGGTCGCTATTCATAACACAAAATGAGGGTCGCTATTCATAATACGGAATGAGGGCCGATCGCTATTCATCAGGATCATTATTCATAATCGAAGAAGAGGGTCACTATTTATAACACGAGAAGAGGGTCGCTATTCATAATACAAGAAGAGAGTCGCTATTCAGAAAACGAGGAGAGGATCGCTATTCATAAATTTTAATGAGGGTCGCTATTCATAATAGGAGAAGAGGGTCCCTATTCATACAAAAATGAAAGTCAGATAAGCAATAAACAAAATGATAATAAAGAAGCAAAATGGATAGGGGACACCCCATGACTGTGGCATGGGTGCAGGGGGGGGGGGGGACGCCACATGGCCCCGAATATTTGTAGAAAATATTCAGTGAAAACATACATTTTTTTTAAAAGAAAAAAAAGGCATGCCCCAATAAGATATGTGACCCATCATCCCGGGCCCTAGCCCCCTCCCCCCCCCCCCCCCCCCAATCAGTCTGACCAAGCTGCACGATTCGCCCCACCCACCCTGAAGTATTTCCTTGGTACAAGTGCATATTGTCGACAATTCTCGTCCAAGTAGTTCATAGATGGCGTAGCCTGTGTGTGTTTCATTGGGGGAGGGGGTGGTGGGGGTGTAGCACCGTTGGCATCAAGGGGCTGATCTAACATGTCCCTAATCCTCAGCAAAGGAAGGAAGCGACAGAGAGGGGGTTATAGGGACTTAAGTTGTATACTATATTCAAGCTTTTCGTAAATAAACAATATTACAAGTAAGGAGGATTTTCAAGATTTTAAGCCATATAAGATATGATTTTATGACCTTAAGGCATTATGGGAACGGTGGCCTCCCCTGTATCATGTCTTTTTAAAAGCATATTTTTCTTTTCAGCTTTGATAATTATATAGACATCCCCATAATCTAGCAAATATATTTCCCCAGCTCCAGTGGGGACAAGAGAAAGGAAAACAAAACACACCCATAATCCTATCGTAATTTGTCCCCTTTGTGGGAAATCTTGCTCCCCCTACCCCCCCCCCCCCCCCAAATGAGAGTCAAACTTATGAACATTTATTTTGGTGACAATTAAGACAATACATTTTACAATGAAACAACCTCAGCCTCCCCCCCCCCCCCAAAAAAAAAAAAAAAAAAAAAAAAAAAAAAAACTAAATAAATAAATAAATAAATAAATAAATAAATAAATAAATAAATAAAAAAATAAATAACTATAAATGTCCAATATCTGACTGTCCGAGTTGTCATCATATAGGCGTAGGCGGCATGGGGGTGGAGGGTGGGGCTGGATATTTCATAATTAAAATTAAAATTTTATTGATTTAAAAAGAATTTGTGAATGTATGGAGAGAAAAGGTGAGTAGATCTACACAAATCACAGACCAATTAAGACTGTTGCAGTTTGTCACAGTATCATCAGGACAGAGCCATTACCAATACCAGCCAGGCCCCTATTTCTATTAGTTATTAGCGTTCCCGCACAGAAATTGTACCCATGACATTGTACACATAATTTTTGGAATAGAATACTCATCTTTCTATTACAATAATATCAAAACAAAACAAAAGGCAAGGGATTCAAAAAATGAATGGTGCCACAATTATTTGCATACTAAGTTAACTAGCACTAACAGTAGTTAGATCTAAATCTAGACAAAATCTAGTCACTAATTTCAAAGTTAAACTCATAGGCTTAAAGCACCCTGACACTTCCACGATATTGGTTTGCGCATGGTTTGCCCATTGTTTCATGTCACGTTTTTGCCATAACAGGAAGCGTTTGCGGAACATGCTGGAGGATGATCGAGGCTAATGCGGGACAAAGCTTGAAATTTGTGGCAGAATTTTCAAAATGTTTAAAATTTTGGCACAACAAATTTGGTGGACGTCTTTCGTGAACACTTCAGGAATTATGAGTATCCTATACGTATTCTACCTGTGTCCATACTGACTGGTGCGTGCCAATGCCCGAGTGACACGCATGTTTACGACTAGTTCACGATGGATTTACGAATAAATTGCTCATAATTTGGGCATCGGCTGTGGATACTTCCCGCAGTTTTCACATTACTTGCGCACTGTCTACGCACAGAAAACTAAGGAAAACAGGAAAAGAAAAAGTGACCGCTGAAAGCATCTTCTCCTTCTTCATCAAGATAATCTGCCTCCTTCAATACTGAAGATTCTTGCAGATGCCGTATACTCGGCCTGATTGGGGTGTGCAGATGGACCATTACACCGGTGTTTCCCCCTACTCTTATACGAAAAGTGCAATGGGTTCTTAACGTGCAAGGGTGGTGACTCTTTTGTACACGGGACCTCCATTTAACGTCCTATCCGAGGGACGGAGTGTTTTCCACTTGACATAACCTGCGTCTATGAACAAGGGAAGGGGCACATTAACACACAATGCAGACATCAGTCATCCGCCTCGGTGGGAGTCGAACCCGGGATCTTTGGTTCGACAGGCAGACGCTTTACCGACAGAGCCAACTCGCCTCCTCACTGCTTGAATAATAATGGCGTGAACAATATTTAAGTATGGCGTATATGCAGGAATAAAAATTTGTGGAAGTTTCAGGGTGGCTAAACTCTTATTTGACTTAGTCTAAACTCTAGTTTAAAATAAAATGAATAGTAGGTCTAGAGTCTAGTCTAGTGAGTGACAACCATGACCAACACCATGCATGCAGCATAGATCTAGTACAATTAATTTCAACAGTTAATAGTCTACCCATATTTTTAAAAAAATAGGGAAATGATAACACATTAGACTTAGATTTAAGATTCATAGTACGAACAATCGTCCGTCTCGACTTGGACCTATATTGTCCATTGTCCATTGAAATTGATTTTATCTAAATCTCTAGATTTACTAACATCTAAATCAACAGGTGGGACAATCAGAGTTTTGAGTTCGAAATATCTGCTTAAATGTGTTATAAATTGATATAATTTAAGCAGCGACTTCAGATTTTCATTAAATTCATGCATCTAATCTCATAAAAGTCCAACTAGGTACACGAAACACAGTTTACTTACCAATTTTTACATCCCGTTCAGACGATGCTACAGATTCGACGGTTCATCGTCTGCTAGAATTGAAGGAGGGCGGGTTTCATGAACCGTCGAATGCGGATTCGTCGGTTCATGCAAACGCTCCGCGCAACGTTTCGTTTTTAGTAAAAATATAAATATGTTTTTGTCAAAAAATATCTCAAATCAGCATCTGAAAATTTGTCAGTAGAAAGATATCATAACAATCAAATTATTATGGAAAAAAAAATATTTTGAAAAATTTGCCAAAAATCGACGGATTCGACGGTTCATGTAAACGCCGACGATTTGCATATACAGCCCCCTCGATTGTCCACTATCTATTATGTATAACTTAATATTTGGCTGTAATTCCTTCTATTTCTATTTTTCTTAAGCGCTTAGAGACATATTTTGTGATAAGCGCTATACAAATGTTGTTAATTGTTACGCAGTGGCGTAGCCTGAGCCCAGCTATTTAGGGGGGGGGGGATTTTTATCAAGGGAGGGGGAGCTGGGGTTAGTGATTGAAATGCGAAATATCAAGAGAGTCGAGATAGATGAGAGTGTGGAAGAAGATGTACTCCCTCTCCAATCTTTTTACCTAGCCTTTTATCTTTCTTCATCTTGTTTTGTCTTTCTCCTTTTTCTCCTTTTTCGCCATTCGATTGGGGGGGGGGGGAAGTGCCTCCTGTATCTACGTCACGGCCTGGTAGAAGAAAAAAAAAGGGGGCGGTACGATTTTTGAAAGAATATGAGAAAAAAGTGGTAGTGGAAAGAAGAGAAAAGACGCCATCGTGATCGTCGCCTATTTCGCGAACCGACACACGAAGTTAACAGATACAGAAGAGGATTGGGAAAATGGAAAACTGGTTAATTGACACTGGGAAGTGTGTGTATCCGTCTGATAGATTTAAAAAGTAGTATTTGAAGTAAACGAAATTATTAGAATTCTTTCTTTTTTTTATATTTGAAGATGAAAGCGTAATGGTGATAATCATAGGGCTGCAATTAAAGTGCGGGTCATGACCTCGAACAGAATTAAACAAAAACAAAAGCGAAATTGATAGAAGGAAAACAAAACGAGAATTCAAGTTCTGACGGCCATGGCAAAAAAAAAAAAAAAGAACAATCATGGTTTAACCAAAGAAATATATGCGCATTTCAGTGGTGATGGTGGTGGTGGTGGTGATGGTGGTGGTGATGTTGGTGGTGATGGTGGCGGTAGTGGTGGTGGTGCTGATTCTGAAAGCAGTGGAACTACTTGACTATAGGGATATGTATATGTGCGGATTATTATGCTAAGCAAAATGAAAGAAAACTAGAAGGAGATAGACAGAGGATGAAACGTGAACAATTAAAGTGTGGTTGAATACAGCCAATGAGAGGGGAGGGGTGTAGAGGTATATAGGGGTTGATATCCATTGACATGATTGATGCCGCAGACAACAGGACCACGACGTCGATTGAAGAGTGCATCTGTCATGGTGGTGGTAGTGGTGGTGGTGGTGGTGGTGGTGGTGGTGGTGATGTGGTGGTGGTTGTAGTGGGGGTAGTAGTTGAGATGGAGATGGTGGTGCACATAATTATGAGGAGATGTAATAATACCGATGGTGAGCAAAATAAAAGAAGAAAAATAGAACGGGTAGAGGTGTATAGGCCATATTTAAGTTAGTCCAAGATCCACTGATGATGCAGGCAAAAAGACCACAAAGTCAATGGTGGTCGTTTTCTTGTAAATTAGTATGTAATGTTTTGTTTTGTACTTGTTTAACCTTCTTTGATTATGTATACTTGTATATCACTATTGGATGCTCCGTTTTATCAAGCCATTGTTTTTTCCATCCACACTTATTCTTATTTGTTATGATTGCATGCTTTGTACATTTGATTTTAAGTGGTTGAAGAAAAAGAACTAATCTGAACTTGGATTACGGAAGCAGGTGGACCAAAGAGTTGCTGGAATAGTGCATCGTTCATCTTCCAAGAGTAATGGTGGTAGTTTGAGAAGTTGAATATAAAGAGATGTATGAATGATTAAAATTAAGGCCCCCCCCCCCAACAAAAAATAAATAAAATGATAATAATAATAATAATTTAAAAAAAAATTAGTCAACATGAAATGAAAAGTAAAGTAAAGGGGCAGAGAGTTAGAAAGAGGGGTGTAGTGCTTGGGATGCATTGATTACGAGGGCAATAGAACCAAAAGGCTTGGTAGAAGAGTGCATATTTAGTTGTGATGGTGGTCGTTTTAGACCAACATCGCCTGCTGATACCAGTCTCCTACCGGCGGAGGAGAGTATCAAGAAAAACCAGTCTCTCACGGCAGTCCTAATTCTAATCAAAACTCTGACAAACGAGGTCTGATTGACTCACACCGGTTCCACTGTTTATCGTTGAGGGTGTCATGCAGAGACTCAGTCTTGACAGCCAGTCACGTAAATTTGAAGAATTACAGAAACATGACAGAAGAAGAGAGTAGAAAGTAGAAAGCCCGGGGGAGGGGGGGGGGGGAGAGAGACAGAGAGAGAGAGATAGAGAGAGACAGAGAGAGAGAGAGAGAGAGAGAGAGCGAGAGAGAGAGAGAGAGAGAGAGAGAGAGCGGGAGGCAGACAGACAGACAACCCGGGTGTGGGGGTGGGGGTGGTATGGGTGGAAGGGACACGCTAATAAAAGCCAACCCAAATTACAAACAAACAAACAAACAACAACGAATAATGAAATAGACGATTGTTTTATTTAGCTAATTACCAATAGTAAATCAGTCAGTTCGATACTTACATTAAATGTTTCGAACTTGCACAGACTAATGAATGATATATGATATGATGGTCGTAAAACAAACTTTTTTTTTTGTGCAGAGGTTGAATTTCACAGAAAAATTCAAGAAATTCAGGCGCAGACGACTTTTCAGTATGTTAACCAAACCAACATCAGGCGAGCCTACATAAAATGTGTTGCTATATTCTAGTAAGCTTACATGTATGCGAAAATCATGTGTAATTTATCCCCATATCTGATTTAATATTGATTTCAAATCCATCTTAAAAGCAAGTTTCTTTGACACACCATGTTAGAGCGATATCGTACAAGAAATAGTGCCCTAAAAATGTGCAACTATACTGTTAACGCATTGATTAATATTCAAAGGTTTGAATAACGCATTGATCATGACGCATCCCATTCGTGCGACGCGGACATACGTCAAGCGATTGAAGCCCGTTGCACACGAAGTGTCAGTAGGGACTTTTATATTTGCACGTCGACAAAGTGGACTGCTTCGGGGGACTGCTACGTGTGACGTCCTTTTAAGGCACAGTGCCTTAAAAGGACGTCACACGTAGCAGTTCACTATGTCGACGTACAATCTATAAGCCCCTATTTACCTGACGTACGGTGGCGTCAGTGACTGGTGCGGCTTTTCACACGTCGTCTGAAATCGATCTTGTATGAAAAAAGTGATGGTCAAATAAAAGGTGCAATCAATGCTTTTGATTATTGGTGTAGGGGCCATGTGCCTTCACAGGCTTGGTGAACACAGGTAAAAGAAAAAACGCCTCGCGTACTACTGGCAAAATGCAACAAGTTTGTAGATATTGCGTTGAATTACTGACTCCTGCGTTAATTTACTATTAGCATAGGAAATAAAGAAATGGAAATGATGCCTCCTGTGCCACGGCATTAGTCAGCCGATTTAGTTCTTGCTCCTTTAAACAAAAAATTATATCTCCAAGTTGTCAAGCTTTTTGTGTGACAACGTAAGTCTGGGTTTGATAGCTGGCAATCAGGGGCACACAGAGGGGGTGCGTGTTAGCCCTGCTATGGTGGCATCTGTAGACTGACTTGTCTCGTTGGTTGGAGTCCTGGTCGCCATCAAACTACATGTAGTTCCAGAAATATAGATTTTGAAATAATATAATACTCTCCTTCCATCTCTCTCTCCGTGTCTACCGACCCCTCCTTTCCCTGTTTGCTTTGTCTGTTTTTCTGTCTCTCTGTATGTCTCCCCTTCATGCTTTCTCTCTCTTTCTCTCTCTGCCTTTCCCATGTTTTTTTCCAGTCTGTCTTTGTTTCTTCTTTACTCTCTCTTTGTTTATCTGTCTGTCTCTCTTTCTCCCTCTTTGGTCTGCCTATATTGTCCTGTATCTTCTCTATCTCTCTTTCTCTCTCATCTCATTCTCTCTCTCTCTTTCTCTATCTCCCTCTCTGTCTCTCTCACTCCCACCCTACTTCCCTTATCGCTTCTCCGTCCCTGAAATAAAACTTTAAAATAAAATTTATCGTACATGTTTTATATTTGTGTACGTATTTTGTTAGGAAATAGTTTGTTTTCTCTCGTGTATCTTGCATTTAAACAGAATAAATGATGTGTCATGGACAATAAAACATTTAATTGAGATGACTTGAATCATAGAAATTGTAATCACTAACATAGATTGTTTACCATTCGTTGCCCAAGAAAAACAGTTAGCCTAAGTCGTGAAATATTTTCTGTCCCATATTCATAACTTTTTCGAAGTGTTGTGATTTTAGCATTTTTGTTTATGGAAGCCCGTTTAAGTTCCCCCAATATTTCGATGGCCTTGGCCCCGCGGTGACCTTTGACATTGTGTAATCGGACCAGTCGTAAGTTTACGACCCAATACGCAATCTGGTCGTAAATCATAGCCACCCGACGGCTTGCTGCAAGCCAGCCCCTTTATGTCACATCATATTTTCCCCTTATCTAAATCAAAAGTTCGATCGTGTATTTAACACAATAAAACAGAACTTCAGAAGAAAAAAAAAACAGCAAAAACCCAGGTATGGTGACGTTTATAATGGCGGTTAATAACTGAATGATGAACTTTAACCTCGCATCTACTACAATGTAATTTATGATCATATTTCGCGGTCTCTGACTAGAGCCCCCCCCCCTTTCGCGCCATTGGAAGCAATTTTGGCGGGAAAACTTCTATTCGACACTAAAAGTGGTATAGTTTTGTATATAGGCTAAACGTAAGTTTCATGTGCAGGCTATGTCCAACAATTTCATTGTCTTGGGCGAGAGGAGGGAGGGGGTGGGGGAGGGGCATTAAATGAAAATTTGGCTGAAATTTATAACCTTAAAAAAAATGACTTGGGAGAACACTGTTTTACGAGAGAGAACGTGAACTGTGGAGACAGAGATAGAGAAAAAGGGAGAGAGAGAGAGAGAGAATGAAAGAAGGAAATAAAG